TTCCTCACCCACAGCAACTTAAGGATGTGGGAATTTAACCTCCAAAATCCCCCCACCAACCCAGGCTGGGGTTGGAGGCCAAAGCATCTTAAAGTTGCTGAGGTTGAGAAACACTGGTCTAGACTACTAAATTTTGAAGATCTAGATTTAAAGGGCACCTTGAAACCTGGTATGTCATGAAAATGCTAATGTGATTATAACCATAGTGACAGGGTTATGCTGCCCAAATGTAGATAGCTTAACTAGAATTTTAAACAACTTTGATTCCTAGAAAATTACCTGTGTTTGATTGATTGATTGATTGATTGATTGATTGATTGATTGATTTTTAGATATGGGAAAGTGTCACCTTACCAAAGGCAAACAGGCTTTGGAGATTCGCAGCAGTTTATCTGAGAAGAGGGCGTTAACTGATCCTATTCAGCAAACAGTGACTTCAGCAGAAGCTTTGGCACGAAATCTGCAGTGGGCCAAAGCTCATGGTACAGTAAATGTGAAAATAACCTTTTTGCTTAGTTAATCAGTAGCCCCTCATGTCTCAGAAAAATATATTTAAGAAATTAGATCGTTTCAGATGAATCAGCATCTGAACTGCACGTATAGATAGATAGATAGAGGGAAAGAGCAAAGTAAATCAAATAGAGGGGGAAATGCCACTATTTCCTTGTTAACTTTATTTCATCAATAATACCCCATAGCTCAGAGGCTGGAAACTTTTTTACTGTCCCCCACCCCCCAAAAAATCTAGTGACATCTTGTCTGTGGTGGCAATACCCAATCCTATCCCATCTACACCTCTGAATTTTGGGTTCCTACCCATCTGAGATGGAAAAACCGCAACAGGTATAGTTTTAATAAAGTTAAAGATAAAAATACCCCCAAAGCTCTGCAACAATTTTACTTATTTGACCCCCCCCCTCCTCCAGTACACACCTGCCCAAAGCTATTAAATGTAGCTTCTAGCTATGCTGTTGCTAGAGCAAAATTGTTTTGATGCTCATGGCCGTTTGACTGTGGCAAAAAAGGGGGAGACAGTTTCCCCACCCTGATTAATTATTTGCAGATTGGCTAATTATCACTTGTTATTCCTGCAAGGCAACCTTCCACAAACTGGGTCCCTCAAGGTGATGTGGGGACTGGGCACTACAGTCTCACACTACTAGGGAATGACAGGTTGATTTTAGGATGCTGCTAGTAAGTGAAAACAAGGGGTGTTCTTCAATGTAGGCCCATACTTTAGGAGGAAAGCAGAACAGTGGATAGCTGTCGGGGCAAGGGAATTTGTGCAAAATATATGAAGAAATCTTCCACTTTAGTTGGAAACCACTTCCCTGTATCTGCAACTATGTAATTGCTAAAATGAACTTCTGAAATTCTGGGAAGATCATGACTAATAGGTATGAGGAACCATGCCATTGGCCCAGCTGTTTTTAAAGAGGAACACGTATGTATCTCTGCCTACTGAAATGTGCTTGTTTTCAGAACTTCCTGAAAGTACGTGTCTTCAGTTTCAATGTGGGGTCCGGATTCAACTTGGTTTTGCTGCAGAATTCTCCAATGTCATGATCATCTACACAAGAATAGTAAAGAAACCACCTGAAATAACCGTTTGCAATGCTTACGTCACCGATTTTCCCCTGGTAAGTTAGTCTCAGGAGTTTGCATGTTCATTCTCTTAAAGATGAGATATACAAAATAGAAATACCATGCTTTAAGCCGGAAACACAACTGGCATGATCTAAAGGCTGGGAATGGGAGGAAGGGATCTCAAAACCTAACCACCTCATCATTTTAATTTTTTAAATTTCCACAGGATTTGGACGTGGATCCTAAAGAGGCAAATAAAGGAACCCCTGAGGAAACCGGCAGCTATTTGCTTTCCAAAGATTTGCCCAAGCACTGCCTCTACACTAGAATAAGTTCATTACAGAAGCTAAAGGTAATTACCTGCAGGCAAATTTTGTTTGCTTTCTTACACTTCTACATTCCTTCAGCAGCAGCAACACTATTCAATTATTGTTAACCTACTAAGATTATCCTTTGCTTGCAGCTTTAAAAGCAGAGTATGTGTGTTGAAGGTTACAAATATCCAAATGTTCCATGTTGGAGTTATTGGATGTGGGTCAGTGGTCTCTGGAAAAGTAGAGCAACTGTATGGGAAGGTTGTATAGAAGAAGAAATACTACTTAAGCAGGAGAAATTAGGCTTCTGTAACAAGTCTGAAGTATGAATAGGGCTGTCGGGGCTAGCCCAAGGAACTCCAGGAGACCATGCAGATTCAGTTCAGCGATGTTTATTAGCTACAACCTCTATCAAGAATCTTCCCAGACTGAAACTCTGTTCCCACAGT